AGTCGACTATGACACTCTTCTGATTTACAGAAGCTTTAAAAATATTTCTGTCTTGTACTTCTAAAAGATATCTAATATTTACAGGTTCTGATATATACTTTCGCTTAAAACATCTGTCAAAAAACCGTTGTAGAGTATTGAGTTTGGCTGGAGAAGAACCGTAGACGGACAGGCCAAACGTTATAGTAGATATTACTAGGGTCTTAAATAGATAATCTATCTCACATTGGCTATAGCCTTCTGCCCTGAGTGTTCGTATAACGTACAAGCATTTGTTTGCTTTGACCAATTTACCTCGCACATGACTGGTGAACTTGAGATTGTCTTGAAAAGTAGTACCTAAAATGGGAAGTTCTTTGCATTGGGGTATATTATAAACATTGTCAAGTTGATCATTATATCCCTTCTTCCGGATGATAAGCTCTTTACATTTACCAGGGTTACAAGTCATAAAATTATCATCAGACCAGCTCAGGAATTGTCCAACTGTATCTGTTGATGTATCAGGACCCTCACTCCAAACTGGCACTATTATATTTGAATCGTCCGCATATTTAAAAAGAGCGTTCTCGCCGTCTATGTCCACCTCTAAATCATTTAGGAAAATATTAAAAAGGTAGGGGCCACTTACGCTCCCCTGTGTTGTACCCTTATTAACATCCATCCATTCTCCACAAAAATCGTTACAAAATCTATTCTTTAGAAAATTTAAATACCAATTTATGATATAAGGGTTGAGTGGCACAGTTTTTAACTTTTCCGAGAGGAGTGAATGTTTCACTGAGTCGAAAGCCTTGCTAAAATCCATAGAAAACAGTCTAACTGCTTTGCAGTCCGCTCTATCTAAGAAGCTGAGTACTTTGTTCTGAATAGTTAACAGAGCGTTTGTACAACTCCCCCCCTGCCTGTACGCAAATTGCGTTGGGGATAAAATTTCCTCAACTGTCGACTTAACCTGACTATTATAAACGAGCTTTTCGAAGGTCCTCGCAATTACAGGTGTAATATTTATTCCACGAAAGTCACCATCTTCCTTTGGTAAATCAACCTTTGCAAAAGGGTTAATATTCGATCTTTTCCATGAATCTGGCCAAGTATGTGATGAAAGGGACAAATTCCAGACGTTAGTTATAACTTCGGTTAGAATTTCCGCATGATCACTCCAAACCCAATAGGGAATATAATCGGGACCTGTTGCTGTCCTCTTTATGTTGTTCCTTGTTCCGTAAAGCTAGGAATATCTACTTCATCACCAATAATTGAGAGCGTCGGTTCGACATAACTATCATCGTGGCAGAGTTCGCGAAAGTAGCGATTTAATCTTGTAAGTGATGCATTATCTAAAGTAACTCTTGATGACGATGCATTTCGCTGAGAAATATCATTCGTCTTTTTCCACCAAGTTCTACTTCCCACCAAGGCCCGTTGCGTTTTATCTTTTTGGAGATTTCTAAAACCTGAGCTTTAAAGTTTAGGTTAGCATCTATCACTACACCCAAATATTTGAAATTAGATGTTTGCTTCAATAATTTATTGTTAATCGTTAATTGGATACTAGAAGAAATTTTCTTCTGTGGAGGGTGAAATATAACAAAGTTTGTCTTATCGATGTTAAGCGACAATTTGTTAACACAGAGCCATTTATTTATATGCTCAAGTTGACTATTTATAGTAGATTCAAGAATTGGTAGGCTTTTATTATTAAAGAATAAGCTTGAATCGTCAGCAAAAAGAAAAAAGTCAAGAATTCTGGAGGAATTACAAAAATCATTTATATAGATTAGAAATAGAAGTGGGCCAAGGACAGAACCTTGGGGTACACCACATGTAACAGGCATTAAAGATGATCTAACATTGCCAATTGTCACAAACTGTTGCCGATTCTCTAGATACGATTGGAACCAAAGTGCCACGCCTCGTATACCATACCATTCAAGTTTTTGCAATAAAATATGATGGTTAACTGTATCAAATGCTTTCGACAAATCAAGGAATACAGCACACGAATATTTACCATCATCGATAGCTTTCTGTATCTTATCAACTTTTGATAAAATTGCATGTAATGTAGAATGATTTGAACGAAAGCCAAACTGTTTAGTATATATTATATCATATTTTTCAACAAAGTTTGACAGACGTTTAGACTCAATTTTTTCAAGAATTTGGTTAAAAATAGATAATAAAGATATAGGGCGATAATTGTCTAAGATTAATTGTGAGCCTTTTTTATGTACAGGAATGACACTAGCCAGTTTGAATTGGCTAGGTACAGTACCAGTTGAAAGACAACAATTAAAAATAGATTCCAAAGGCTTTGAAATAAATCTCCTTAGCAATTTCAGATGTGTGATCTCAATAAAGTCCTCAAACTTCTATCAGGCTACTTAGTAAAGGATGATTCTGGTAAATATTATTTCAGCCATACATACATACATACAAAAATTTATTTAGGCACGCTGGCCTCAACAACTAGGAGCTGATTTCCATGAGGGGCGTGATTTGGAGAAATATACATTAAGAATACAAAAACAAAGAAAGAAGAATTACATATACAGTAGGCAACAGGACGAGCCAATTTTAATTGTTTGCCTGATTAATAGTTCTTTGAAAAGAACTTAAAGATTCCGCTACTTTTACCTCATACGGTAAATTATTCCATACTACCGCTCCGTTATATTTGAAGCATCTTTTACCGGAATCGGTATTCGGTTTAGGAAGAGACAAATCGGTTTCTATATTTCTAAGATCATAGGTATTATCACATTCATTATTCAATCGAAAGGATGTTCTTAGATTTGGTGCGGTGTGGTTATTCAGAATTTTATACATAAAAACAGATTTTAGATAAGTTCGCCTTAGTTCTAGGTGTTTCCAACCCAGGCTTTCAAGTAAATCAACCGACCGAACATTGTAAGTTGCACTAGAAATTACTCTTGCAGCCCGATTTTGAAATTTCTGCAACCTGTCCTTGAGGCCTATTCCACAGTTGTCCCAGAGAGGGCTGCAGTAATCAAAGTAGGGCTGCACAATAGCATTGTACATCAATTTTAGTGTCGCAGACGATACGAAGGGCCTAATACGTCTTATAGCACCGATTCCCGCACTGACTTTTGAACATATCATATCAATATGTTTTTCCCAGGTCAATATCAATATGTTTTTCCCAGGTGTTGACGCCAAGGCAAGTGTAATTTTCAGTCCTGGGTATTGGAACGTTATTAACAAGAATTGGGTTACCATGCAGATACCTTATATTTAATATTATACGCTGATCCAATAAACATATATTTCGATTTTGTCGGATGAATTTGGAGCTTATTTTGTAGCATCCATTTTCGAATATTTTCAAGATCAAGGTTTATTTTAATAACAATGTCATCACAATCTTTAGAGGATAGATAAATAGTTTTGTAAGAGATTGGTTGCAAGACGACGAATCAGATTTCTTTTGCGATGTACTAAACGGGCACTCCATTATGGCAAACTATAACTCGAAAACTCCTAAAGTTAAAGACGGGTTACAGTCCGTGCTGCGCATGTGCGATTCTTTTTGTTTTGGTAGCTAGACTACTTATCTCTCGTTTCCATGGTTTCCAGTCCGATTGCGTAATATACGCGCGATTCTATATTTGTTGATACAAGGAGTGGGAATACACAGTTTCGAAGAGATTTTGATTTTTGAACGATTTGTGACTTTTATGAAGTGAAATTAATCCGATTAATAACAAATCATTGAAACAATATAAGAAGAAGGAAAGAATATTACGCCAACAAGGATGCCTTTAAAGTGTGTTTATTTGAAATTCAGTCAAGCGCTTCGCCATGTCGAAGTTATACTGTCATGTAAAAGGTAAATATTTGTTTTATACATTTGATTATTTCGTTCTCCAGAGTCGAGACTTGATCTCTAATTCGCTGTGAATTTGTCACAATTTTTAAGCTAGGGCAATTTTATTCATTTACTGTCTGAGAAAAGATGGGATCTCTAAGTTTATAATTCAACTTCTTCGAGACATGTATATTTATTTATATCACACTTGCGTCGGTTTTCTTTGTTCGTCCGAGGTTTATAACTGGCTTATAGACCTTGAATAAATGATTGGATTAAACTTTTAGACAAAACACGAGAATTTTTCATCAACAATTTTTGAAAATGACAAAATATGTTGGAAAACCTCCGCAAGTGAAAACCTCCGCAAGTGAAAACCTCCGCAAGTCGGTTTATAACTGATATATTGCCCCTCGGACGCTACGCGTCCTCGGGTCAATATATCAGTTATAAACCTCCTACTCGGTTTATAACTCTTACTTATACAATAATTTGATTGAGTTGAGAATGGTTTGATTGACTTGGGAATATTATCCAGTGCTGGTTGAGAGTCAGATGTCCTTAAATAGCCACCTATAAAATGTTTTCTAGTTCTATTCCCTGTAGCTACTTTATATATTTCAATATCTTTTTGTATGGATATATGATAACTGATTTCAAGCACCATGTTACATGCCATGTGAACAAAAATGTAGTATAGCAGTTTTAACATTCTGGCTAAAATAGTTATCTGGCCAACATTGAGATATAAATACTGATAGTTTTGGTCCTAGTTGTTGTAAAAAATTCAATATATAGCATATGCTTTATACCACACTAACGATCAGATGTTCATACTTTACTACAATATAATATAATAAAATGGAATACATGTAATATCATTCATTGATAAACATCTAATAAAACTCTCAAAACAAAGCAGATGTAAGAATTAGAGAATTTTCCCCCTGACTATGTTACATATGATGGTAATGTTATCTCCAATAACAGCAATAACACTTTTGTCTGGGTGGCTAATTGATGCCGCGTGCAACAGATACTGCCAAGATGTGGTTCACGGCCCGTTCACACCAGCAACTTTCTACACGATTTGTATTGTAACTATTGTTCACACTAGCAACTTTCTTCAGGACTGTGATCATGATGTTTTTCAAATAAATCATCAATAATGTTCCTAGTAGGACATGTACATCATGAGAAGAAATTTGCCAAGGAAATTGCTAGTGTGAGTAAGAGTTAATGGCAATGTTTAGAACATCTGACTCAAAACAATTTCTTAGAACAACAGTATTCTACATATACAATGTCATCTTGATCTAACAGAGCACATATTTTCTTCCTATTGGTATGGGGAATACAATGTCTACAGTTGCAGCTGTCCAGATTTTGGTGGGTGTAGCCATGAATATGGTGGTGGTGATGTGCAAATTGTCCTCAATTTTTCCATGAATTAGAACCTACAGTATCAATGTTTCAAAAAAAAAGATTTACATGGGGTATACCCTTTATAAAGATTACACTATGCATTTTTTGAAGGTTCACAAACAATCATGCCATGTCATTCAACATAGTACATTTTTGTCCAGTGCAGTAGTGATATTAATTTTAATATGCAATCACACAAAAGTGCTATAAAATAGACAACAATGATTGAATGTATGGTCAGCAGGACTGGATCCCATGTGAAAACCAACATCCAGTACAATCATGTCCGATGTAAAAAAATATATGCTGCTACCAAAAAGTTCATCTGGAGATGCCTGATTATGAATTACAAAACAACAATCATCCAATAACTCAATCCCGGTAGCATTTTGATATAATAATGAAATCAGTTTTATCCTTGACTGAATCTAGTACTGAGGTCATTAAATTAGATTTCAAGTACTATATTTGCCTATACATGTCTAGACTTTCCAAAGTCCTTTCCAGGCCCTTCTATGGCGCGCTTCACTTCGTCGCTCGGGTCGCGCGCTCGGCGCTCCCTCCCCCATGGTCGACTTGTGGCAAGTCTAATACATGTCTTGAACAAGTTGAACTATAAAATTCAGAGATTCCATATTTTCTCAGACAGTAAATGAATGTAATTGCCCTAGCTTAAAAATTGGCACAAATTCACAGCGAATTAGAGATCCAGGCTCGACTCTGGAGAACGAAATAATCAAATGTATAAACAAATATTTACCTTTATATGTACGACATGGCGAAGCGCTTGGCTGAATTTCAAATAAACACACTTTAAAGGCATCCTTGTTGGCGTAATATTCTTTCCTTCTTCTCATATTGTTTCAATGATTTGTTATTAATCGGATTTCACTTCATAAAAGTCACAAATCGTTGAAAATCTCTTCGATAATGTGCATTCCCACTCCTTGTATCAACAAATATAGAATCGCGCGTATATTACGCAATCGGACTGGAAACCATGGAAACGAGAGATAAGTAGTCTACCAAAACAAAAAGAATCGCACATGCGCAGCACGGACTGTAACCCGTCTTTAAGTATCCTTCATCAGAGGATTTTGTTGAAGATTTATGTTTTTGTCCGAAACAGCCATATCCTATTGCTCTTCTAGACCTCGAATTCTTTTCTTTGCGTTATTTCTTTCATTCCAGTGAGAGCGGGAGTTTAACGTGAATGTTCTGATATCTGAATTAGGTATTAAAGCAATAGACCTTCTTCATGCCGCAAGTCACCTAGATAAACGCCATGACTTTGAGTTGGGATCAATGCGTTCCGGGTATTTGGCAATGAAAGTTTACGATGAAACAGATGTGTTGAATGAAATGACCACACAGGAAAAATCTGAACATCTTGACTACACTATTGATTTGCTGCCTGCAAGGATCATTGCGAAGTTCTTTGATAACGTATACTGGATTTTTAGTTTTCGTGCCATTTTACATTTGAACTATAACCCCACCACACTACAACTAGTCCGGAATGAATCACTGCCCCTGTTATTCTTTTCGTATCCAATTGATTTTCCCCATTTCGACCATAAAATATTTGAATTTTGTGTAAACAAATGATTGACGGCAGATGTATGTGTTCCTCAATTCTTTGAGAACACCAAGGGCTTTGACTCGTCCATCTGCTGGAACGAAGATGTCTAAGAGTATTTTAGAAAATTGAAGTCAGGCGAAAAGAATGTTATCACTTTGGAGTCCCTTAAAGAGAAGCCATTTTATCCAGAAGAAGCTAAAGTGTCGGAATTTACATTGGAGATCATTCAGAAACCTCTTTCAGGTATTGATTACAAATATTCTTGTAAATCTGCAAGTGTGCATGGTGAAAAAATTATCTTTGATATAAAGTTGATTAAGCATATTTTTAAAATTAAAATGGCTTTGGAAAAAACCTACTGTAGTTTGTTATATATGAAAGCAATACACCTCATCGTATAGGCTGTATTCTGTGAGCAAAAAAGTTGCTTAGAAAACGAGTTTTGTTGCCTCACTTCGGGCACTACTTTAAAATTGCACGAATTTATAGATTCTGATATGCCTGGCACGAATTTATTCATGAAAACCTGCAATTTCTTCATATTTTACGATCAAACATCATCATTTTCTATTAAAATTAGCACTATTTTTTTTAAACTTCATGTTATGCACAGTTATTGTACTAGTTCAAAGGCGGGGGAAAGGGGTGGGGGGTATCACGCGGTTCATCTCAATATGAAATTGTAAAGATTCTTTAATCAAGAATTTTACAGATTCTAAACTTGTCCTACAATTTTCGGGGGATATTGTCTTGCACAAATTTTTTATCAACAACGAACAAGGAGCGCACGATATTCGATAGATCTCCAGGACCCAGATGTATTTTATTTAACACAAATTGACCATTTGCAGCAGTTCTTTCAAAAACTAGCTCATGAACGAAATCTGAATTTTTTCCTGTGGGGCATTAAGTGCTATGACCACAAAGACGATCATAGGTTTAAATTTGTTCGCGCTAATCTTTCGACACACTTTTTTTAAGATCTAACTGCGAAAAATGGCTGTAATAGGCCCTTTGGCTGCGATTCCGGTGTAGCGCTCTAACGAGCTGTGCTATACAGAGACCAGTTGCTAAGCCTTAACCACAGATTCATGTATATATATATATATATAATCGAACCTGCCAGAGGGCCTAAAGTTGCATTTTTTGCAACTGCTCCTAGTTGTTATGTCTAAAAAAGTGTATAGAAATTTAGGTTTGAAAACTCAATCTAAAAAACCATTCACTATTAGTTGTATCGAACGAGATTCCCAAAATGTCGATACAAGAATCTTTATTAATATACTCTTTGCAATTTCATATATAATTCAACAATAAACCCAAAATCTGATGCAATATAGAACGATAGATTAATTAGCCTTTCTCACGTCGCCATTTTTGGGTGGCTTTTCAGCTGAAGTTTTCGAGCTTGAAAAATATGCCCGGATCCCACCGTGGCCGAGCATATTTTTCTAGCTCGCCCGGTGTGGATATACACTCAGAGTAACACCAAAAATATGATATTCACCTGAGTACACTACACCAACACAGAAAAAATTCATATTAATAGAATACATTGGTATCGAAGGAACTAGATTCTGTTCCGAAATATCACTTACTCGAACCGTCCTGACCGCGTAGCTCAGTTGGAAGAGCATTGGGCTAGTATTCCAAAGGTCGTAGGTTCGAATCTCACCGTGGCCGGGCATATTTTTCAAGCTCGCCCGGTGTGGATATACACTCAGAGTAACACCACAAATATCATATTCACCTGAGTACACTACACCAACACAGAAAAAATTCATATTAACAGAATACATTGGTATCGAAGGAACTAGATTCTGTTCCGAAATATCACTTACGTACTCGAATCGTCCTGACCGCGTAGCTCAGTTGGAAGAGCATTGGGCTAGTATTCCAAAAGTCGTAGGTTCGAATCCCACCGTGGCCGGGCATATTTTTCAAGCTCGCCCGGTGTGGATATACACTCAGAGTAACACCACAAATATCATATTCACCTGAGTACACTACACCAACACAGAAAAAATAAATATAGTACAGTTTTCAAGGGGCAAGGAAAATTAAACAATCGACAAATTAAACTTCATATCCGAGACGATGTCAAACCAGTTAGGCAGCGGCAAAGATGTATACCATATCATGTGAGAAAGGATGTTTCTAAGGAACTAAAGAAACTAGAAGAGCAAGACATTGTCGAGAAAGTTGCCAATCAACCCACACCATGGATATCTCCAATAGTCGTCACGCCAAAGAAAGACGGAGGTATTAGACTGTCTATGTGTAGACATGAGGGAAGCAAACCAGGCAATCGAGAGAGAGACACACACAATGCCAACTTTACAAGATTTTAAAGCTGAGGTAAATGGAACAAAATTCTTCTCAAAGATTGACCTAAAGCAAGCATATCACCAGCTCGAATTACACCCGGACAGTCGATTCATTACAACGTTTTCTACCCATGCATATGAAGGACTGTTCCAGTATAAAAGATTAAATTACGGTACGAACAGTGCAGCCGAGATATTCCAAAATGTGCTACAACAAAACCTTAGCGATATCAGAGGAGTGATCGAAAAACCTGGTGGATGATATCATTATTCATGGTAAAACCCGAAAGTCACATGATGAAGCACTAGAGAACTGTCTAAAACGGCTAGCAGGACTAAACTTGAAAGTGAAAGGGGAAAAATGTGAATTCTACAAGACGAAATTATACGTTCTTTGGATTAAAATTTACAGCAGCAGGAACCAAACCAGATCCAGAGAGAATTGAGAACATGGTTAGAGTACCAGCTCCCAAAACTGCTGGGGAAGTTAGACGTTTTCTGGGAATGGCCAACACTTGCCACGAATACATTCCAGATTATGCAACTATTACAGCACCTCTAAGAAAACTAACCAAGAAAAACATTGCGTTTAGGTGGGAAAATAGACATCAGAAAGAATTTGAGCAACTGAAAAAGAAACTAACAAGTACCCCAATTATGGCATATTTCGATACAAAGAAACGAAGTCTAGTAATCGTAGATGGCTCCCCTTATGGAATTAGTGCAATACTAGCACAGAAAGAACATCACAGCCAGCGGTACAAAATCCTTTCATATGCAAGCAGAGCACTCAGCCCAGTTGAGACAAGATACTCTCAAACAGATATTGAAGGACTTAGCTTAGTATGGGGAATTGAGTATTTTCGAATGTTCTTGATTGGATCAGAATTCGATGTGATAACTGTTCATAAAGCATTAGAATCTATATTCAATAACCCAAGATCCAGACCACCAGCCCGCATTGAGAGATGGATGATGCGATTACAACCATTCAACTTCAAAGTCATTTACCGCAAAGGATCCTTAAACGAAGCTGACTACTTAAGTAGACATCCAGCTGTTATTGAGAGAGAACAAATAACTAGTACATCAGCAGAAGAATATGTGAACTATGTAACTAACTGTTCAGTTCCAAAGTCAATGACACTTGACGAGATTAAAAAAGCAACCCATAACGATCCAGTATTACAAAAAGTTAAGAAATGTCTGAAAGAGAGAAAATGGGATGAGAACGATCCTGACCTTAAACCGTTCAGATTTTGCGCCGACGAACGTACGTACAATGCATCAGCAGGTATACTGTTGAAGAACACACGGCTGGTCATTCCAACAACATTACAAGAAAGAGCAACAAAATTAGGTCATATCGGGCATCAGGGAATTGAGAAAACGAAAAGCCTACTACGCGAAAAGATCTGGTACCCAAATATGGACAAACGAGTGAAAGAAATGGTAGACAAATGCATTCCTTGCCAAGCAGTAGGTCACGGTAATAACCCGGAGCCAATGAAAATAACACCAACCGAAGACAAACCATGGACTAGTGTAGCAATCGACTTCTATGGTCCAGTACCCCGAACTGGTCAATACCTGCTAGTGGTTATCGATACCTACTCAAAATTCCCAGAGGTAGAAATAGTCAACTCAACCGAAGTAAAAACTTGCATACCAAAATTAGATACGATATTTGCCAGATATGGAATACCATCAAAAATAAAAACTGACAATGGACCCCCATTTAATGGGAAAGAATTTGAAACATACGCTAAAACCCTTGGTATTGAATGGAAAACAATTACACCACTATGGCCCCAGGGTACTTCCGTCGTAGAAAGATTTATGAAACCAATTGGAAAACTCTTGAAAACAGCAGAAATTGAAGGAAAGAATTGGAAGCAAGAGCTGCAAAGGTTTCTACTTCAATACCGTTCAACTCCTCATCTAACTACTAAAGTCGCTCCGTCTGAACTACTTTTTAACAGACAAATTTGGGGATACTTACCAGAACTCACAAGGAAAAAAGTAGTTAATAGACACAAGAGGGCGAAGCAGAATTTGGAGCAGAAGAAAGAAGAGAACAAAGAGTACTACGACAGAAACAAAAGAACAAAGGAAGCTGGTATCAAAGTTAACATCAAAGTTTGACCCAGAACATTATACGGTAGTATAACGTAAGCACAACACCATCATAGCTAAAAGAGATGGTAAGACGGTGACAAGAAACGTTTCACACTTTAAAAAGGTAGTAATGGAGGAAAGCGAGGAGGAGCAGGAAGATACAGCACCGGGAAGATCGACGGAAACAGAGGAACCACAAAAGCAAGAACCAAGTGTAAGGAGATCAGTACCAGACTTGATGTTATAAACAGTAAAACGATATAAACATTTAAATTATAAAAACATCAGACAACGTTGATTTACATAAGTACGAAAATAAGGCAAGGACATTTTATTAAGTGGTTGACATTCAGTTAAAAAAAATAGAGGGAGAGTAATGTAGTATTTGTAGGATGCGATAAGTTAATAATTAACTTCTAAGCATGTAACAAACGTTGATTGACATTTGTAATAAACCATCATTCAGTCTATTCTATAACTTGCAATTGTTTTTTCTTGCATATTTTAACATTCCTGTAGATCAGAGGTTGATTTGGTATTTGGAAGAAAAAATGCTTCGTTTAACACTGTACTAATATCGCCTTTAATAACCCTAGTAAACACGTTCGATCGCTTAGTGAATGCCTTTCAAATGTCGACATTCGTGCTCAATATTGCCCATGGGAAGGGAATTGGCTTTTCTTTATTTGCCCATGGGTAGGGAATTGATAGTTTAGGAATAAAGAATACATAAACCCCGGGGGGGAGGAGAGGGTAACAGGAAGAATCGAACCATGCATGATGCAGACAATTCTCTGCTGCGTACGCCTTTCTAAACGGGCACCTCCTTAATGTCAACGCCTTTCTAATAATGCGGACACCTCGTCCACATTAATCCGTTTTCGTTTGAAAACGTATACTTTTGCACGCATTTTCGCCGATCTTCCACACTGATACGAAGGAAAACGGATGCCTTCATCAATGAAAACGGAGCTCTTCGAAAACTGCTTTGAAAGTACGTAGAGAGAACACGGGCGTATATATTGGATTAGTGTGGACGGGCAAAAACGAAGGTTTTCAAAAACGCGGACGGCATGAACACAATCATGCGTAGTCAGAGTGTTGTTTTTCCGAATTTCAGATGAATTGCTTAAGTCTTGCACTTGATATAATGATTAATCTGCAAGCATAACTTGCAAAGACAACATAATGCTCTACACTATGTTCTAGGTTATCAGTTAATTTATTTCTGAGATTGTGAAGCCACTATAGAAGCTCTATTATCGACGACGTTTTTAGATCCAACCTCGGTGAATTTGTCTCTTAGCTTTCTCCGTAAAAATGTTCCTGGCTTTCTTGTAAGATTTTTGCATGAATATCCGTAAAATGAATAAAGATCGAAAATAATAAAAAATTATCGTTTTTTAAGTGCAAGTGTGGTAAAGAACGATCCGAAAACGCTACTGTGGACGCAGATATTTGTATGCTTTTTCGAAATATCAGAAACCAAGGGATTCGAAAATGGATTAGTCTAATAGTGTGGACGTATAGCCTACCTTCCCAATACGGATAGTCGGATACCTCTCTAATATGAATACTGTACCTCCCTACAATCGCGTGCAAAAATTGTTGAGACAAGCATTTTATTGGCCCTCTCCCTCCTGTAACAATGGTTCTTGCCCACCCCCCTCCCCCTTGTGCAATGTTGTTAAAACGATTTTGAGGTCAGGGCTTATCAAATAATATGTTTTCAATATTGTTAATGGGGGGAGGGGGGCCCGCACGTGAAAAAGATCACCAAAATGTGAAGAGTCTCATTATTTTTGCACGCAATTGTAGTAGAGACACTTCGCTCATACAGACACCTCTCTGCATGGGCGTACCGGAAGGAAAAAATTAGGGGGGCGGAAAGAAATTTGCCCGACTTTTTCGGAATGTTCCCCACCAGTCGCCAAAAAAATTTCGGTCAGTGTACCATTTTAGGGGTCCAATAATTTTTCGGACATACCAAAATTCTTCGGAACATTATACAAATTTTCCAAACATCACAAAATTGACCAAAAAATTGACAGAATTTCCCACAAAATTGACAGAATTTGCCCCATTTAGTTTTATAATAAGCCAATATTGCCCGACTGTGGAGCGAATATAGCCCGACTAGCTTTGTTTGCCCGACTAGCTTTGTTTGCCCGACTAGCTTTGTTTGCCAAACAAACTGGGGGGAGGGGCTGCCCCCCCCCCCGCCTGGTACGCCCATGCCTCTCTGATAGTGTAAATGTGTATTCTTTTTCGAGGTACAATATATTATATAGTATACTATAGTTAGCCGTATACATGTATATAATTATGCTTTATTCTTATTCAGAAATTGAACGCCTTCTGAGAGATGGAATGATTTATGTGGAGTTCGAGTATGTCGTTTTTACTAAGCAGGCCACAATATTAATGGTAGAAGGCTGTTTAAAACATGGAGCAAATTAAACCCAAGCAACAGAGGAGGTCTGGGATTAACTGCCGGCCTAATGCTAACGTGTAAGAAGCTAAGTGAAGTTTTGTGGTATTTACCTACGGCGGAACAGGTGGTGTCGTTACTCTTGGATCACGGAGCTAAAGTGAATCAACAGGATTTTTATGGACGTACTGCGCTTCATTATGCATTTGAATCCAGATATGATAATGATGTATATTTCCCAGAAGAAAAGCTTGCTCAAAAACAACGTATTGTTAAAATCCTTATCCAGCACAACGCAGACATTTATCTAAAAGATTCGTCTGGGCTTTACGCCTTTGACATGGCTAGGCGTGAGGGACACGAATCATGGTTAAGAACCGCTGAAGCATCATTGACAGGGACACGCTCAAAGAATGGAACAACTTCCTGTTCCATAGGCTAACCATGAACTCGATAAACCTGCTCTATTCTGAACTAGTCCCCTATTCAACAGAAAGCAAGGCTCGTACGAGATCTGATAAAAAAAGACTAACTTAATGCTATTACTTGGAACCCCAAAACTAACCTTAGCGACCAAAGCACGTGCACGTTTAGACTGGAAATTTTAACGAATTGAATCAACTCCAAAAAAGTTATTCTATCACCATTTTTGGTGGCCACTTTTGCAGTTGATTCATTTGGAAATTTACAGTGAGGTTATACAATTAAGTAACAATAAATATAGCATTTGTATGTAGAAAAGAGTAACAGACGATGAACTGCATGGCAATACAATTAAGTAACAATATATATAGATTTTGTATATTAGGGCACGAGTGACAGACATTGAACTGGTAGTACAATTAAAGTCGGTTACAGACGAGCAAGTTTTCTATGACAAGTTTTTATGTGACAAGTTTTATTTGCCAAGTGCACATGTGTGTATATGCAACAAATTTTATATGACAAGTTTTCATATGACAAGTTTTATGTACTGGTGTGAACGTGTCAACAAGTTTTACTTTGACAATTTATTAGTGGCCAACTGGCCAATCACATCAAATGCTCAGATTACTTTGAAAAGTTTTCTTTGTTGACCCATACAGACGAACAAAATTTGTACTTTGACAATTTTTTCTAGCTAGCATGCTAGCGCTTTTGAACAAGTGCACTTGTCATAGAAAAACTTGTCAAAGTTGCGCGTACATTCGAGCAAATAAAACTTGTCACATAAAAACTTGTCATAGAAAACTTGCTCGTCTGTAACCGGCTTAAGTAGCCTAACAATATATATAGCATTTGACATATGTATATTCATAAATTTCATGTAGTTTTATAGCAGTTACTGCTATAATTTTGAGAAGTGTATATAAGCAATATATAGCTAGCACTAGTTGCATATATTCATAAATTTCATGTAGTTTTAAAAGCAGTTACTGTTAGAATGTTGAGAAGTGTATAACGATATATAGCTAGCACTCAGGGCCGCACAGAGAAATTCGGGGGCCCGGGGCAAATTTTTAATTCATGCCCCCTATTTAGGGGGAGTAAAAAAATTTTCCCTGACGTATCCAAAAAAAAAAGGTTCAAAAAGATGTTCAGAACAAATACGAGTAAATTTAAAGTTCAAAAAAATTTTCCGAACAAATACCAGCAAAATTAAGGTCTAAATAGGTTTTAATTACATTTTTGCCCCCGCCCCTTTTTGCAAATTTTGGGGCTTCCTTTAACTCTGGGTCCGGGGCAAATTGCGCCTTTTGCCCCCCCCCCCTCTGTGGGCCCTGCTAGCACTATAGTTGCATATTCATAAATTTGTGGGTTTAAAAGCAGTTACTGTTAATAAAACATTTGTGATATCTGTGTAGGCCAGTTTGTTCTGTAGACCATGATGTATATTTATAATGCTAATTAAAGAACCCATTTGGTAGTCAACAAACCCAGATGTTATTTCCCATGCTGGATTCACAAACTACCATTTGGTCGAACAGTAGTTATAAATTCAAATAATAACTGTAATTTATACTATAGTTTTTCTCAAACTTTCGATTCGCCTCTCATTTCAAACTCTCATCTTTGAAAAAGGATGAAAATAATAATTTATTTCTATAACTTGTGTATCTTGCTTAGAATAGATACATACATTTAGTCAGGCCTCGAATTTCCCTGAAATCAATCGACGGCAATCATAGGCGTGAAAGATGAACCCCCCTCGATGAGCTCTAAGCACTTGGGGTAAATGTATCTAAATATTGTTTAAAGAAAAAAAAAGAAAAAAAAAGATTTCAAAGTCGAAAAGTCGGGCAAATGTTCAACAACGGGCAAAAGTCGGACAAAAAGTAGTCAAAGCAATAAAATCTCTCTTAATAATAACCCCAGTTTGTTGGGCAAACGAAGCCAGTTGGGCAATATTCGCTTCACAGTCGGGCAATATTGGGTTATTATAAAAATAAATGGGACAAATTCTGTTAATTTTGCGGGAAATTATGTCAATTTTGTGATGTTTGGGAAAATTTGTTTGATGTTCCGAAAAATTTTGGTATGTCCGAAAAAATTTTGGACCCCTAAAATGGTACACTGACCGAAATTTTTTTGGCGACGGGGTGGGGGGATAATCCGAAAAAGTCGCGCAAATTTCTTTCCGCCCCCCTAATTTTTTGCTTCCGGTACGCCCATGACGGCAATGGCGTTAAAGCTGTCTACGGCAATTTTGGCAGTTTCCACGATATTTTTCTAGAAACATGTCTACGTATTTCTTTAGTTTTTTTTCCAAAGAAAACTGAGACTAAAATAGTGATTTACGCATGATTTGATCAACATCTGAATTCAAGTATCAAAGTAGTAATTCACAGTGAATAGTATAAAAATTGCACTATGCGGCAAAAAATTGCCGTCGTTGCCGCAATGATCCACGGCATTTTGTTCTCCCTCTACGGCAATTGCCGCGATAAAATTCGAGCCCTGCATTTAGTGGCTGCTGAGTTCGTTTGTGGGTGATTAATATATAAATTGGAAAATAATTTTGACAAAACTTTGAATTCTTTTGGTCATGATTATCATCAGTACAATTATTTATAAAAAGGTATATATATAGTGGAATTTTCCATTCGGTAGTGAAGAGCAGCAAAATGTGCACGAGCCTTGGGTTTTGCCAGAATGACCATGTGTTACAGTTCGGTTACGATTAGATTGGTAATAAAACTTTGAAAAAATGGCAAAAATCAATTTCTTCGAAAGTCAATGTTTGATTGTTGTATGAGAAAGTATCTTAATTATCAGAGCACCCACATAGAAATTCTAACAAACTGACCAGTTAAAATTATATTCAAATGCACATCAAGTATATACGGCAAAAAATGCAAGAACAGCACAGTTATATATTCATATGACATGCTGTTTATAATGCCCCCCCCCCCCCATGAAATTAGTTTTTCACTTTGAGGATTTTTTCATACTTTTATTTCATACTCTGAAAGGCAAAAGTATGAAGCTGGTAACAGATGAACAAGTATACACTTGTCGAAAAGGTAGTGTAGCATGCTAGCTTTTAAACAAGTGTGCTTGTCTTTGAAAAAATTCGCAAGAAAAATTTGACAAAGCAATTTGAGTCCTTGGACACAGTTGGTTAGCGATCTATTGTCGTTGATAGCTGTCTGGGGGCATGAAAGACAAAGAGTGTCAAGGACTTGTCATAGAAAATTTGTTGCACATAAGAAAAACTCGGTAAATTTGATCGTATTAAGACCACTTGTTCAGTTTGATAGTGAATTGAATATTTAGAAAGCGATACTTTATCGTAAAACATTAAAAATACGGAATATAAACGGGAACACCTACCTATGTCAAACGATCCAGTGCTGAAATACATCAACATCCGACAAGGACCACAAGACGAAAAACTCAACGATATCTGCCAGATCAGTTACAACCAGCAACTGCGTACAGTGTCCCATAAACGTTGACAAAACACAAACATTTCTCGTAGTCTTGTATTTCGGTTAAATTTTCATCAAATATTTGCAAAAATTGCAACAGCGAAAGCATGCACGTGCCCTGTATCTTGACATTTTATAAAATTTCAAAAGTGCGCGGGCGGAAAATCCGCCTTATGCTAGCGGTTTGCTGATCCTGACTTCTCAGTACTTTATCTTGGGTTAGCACTAGTTTCCATCTGTGAAATTGACGTGACGTCATTTTCAGAAGATGGAAGAGGTGTTAAATGGCTATGTAACTAACCCAAACCCTATCCTACTCTAACCCCTAACCCTAACCGCAACCCTAACTCTAACCCTAACCCTAACCCTAACCAAATTAATAAAAAAATCCAGAAAGAAACAACTTTAGAAATTGATCAAATTACGTAATGTCAGTTTGGTAGATGGAAACAAGTGAAAACCTTTATCTTGGGAGTTGGGACCGTCATTTTTTAGTATTTACCGGCGTTTGCGTCCACGAATGGACAATCGCAGATAAAAATCGTCATTTTTATAACGTGAAACTTTAATGTTTGAAACAAGTATTGTTGTGCGCGGATTGTTGTTAATTAAACATTTATCTCGCGTTACGACCGCCTTTTGTTTGCCGCCAAAACCATAGAAGTATTTTTCAACATAAGTTTTCTTTTGTAATCGTACAAACGAACAAATTTTCCTTGTCCGCTGAAAAGCTGGCATGACTAGTGCCTTGAACGCAAATAAACCGAAGATTTTTCCGTCTCCTTCGCATTGTCCACCTGTCCAGTTTGAAAGTAGCAAACCTATGATTAGAATATGAGTGCAATAATTTTCTGATTTGCAGAGTATAAATTTCTATGCCGCTTCTAAAATTTGATAGAAAAAAGTTCTTTTCCTTGAAAACAACTGGACAAAAATGTTCGAGTAATTTGGAAATCACGTTTGAAATCAACTGCAAATATTCCCATTTATATAGACTAATTTTAAAACTAGGCAAGGACTAGATGCAAATAAATTACCACAACTAGAAAGAGCATAGTAAAATGAGTAGATTTGCAAAGTTTGGTTGCGAAATTTATAAAATGAGGAAAATATAACCTTGCGAAGTTTGCAAATTTTGTATACTTTTTTATTGCATGCGGAAATTGCTACCATTTTTGGCCCAAAATGTGCTAGCAATTTCCGCACGGAATGCAAAAGTATACAAAATTTGCGAATTTGCAAGGCTATATTTTCCGCATTTTACAACATTTAATTCGAAACCAAACTTTGTAATTTTATTATTTTAGTATGCTCTTTCTAGCTGTGGTGATTTATTTGCCGATCTCCTTGCTTATAGTTTTAAAATTAGTCTGTAATGGGAATTGTCTATTCTGACGCTGCGATATGGCAAATTCAGTAACATGCACGTCTATGAATGTAAAACGCGCCGTTTGTTAAATTTGTTTATGACCACCAGAATTGTCTCTTTGATAACCATTCATTTCTGACTTGTGAAACATTTACCTGTTTATTTCTTTGTTTTAATTGAACTTTCAATTGCCAATTTGACTATCTGAAATACATTATGCCAACACGACGAAAAGTGCCAAACGTATTAAAGGTAAAGTCAATTTAACTTTTTTTATTTATTCATAAGGAAAGCTATTACTGTGAGGAAAATACAAACGTAAAAACGGCTCAGTGAGCCAGTTATGTTAGTGACCTGTTGGCTGTTGCAGAACAATTCCAAAAAATCAACTCATAGTCATGCATGAAACAAGATTAGACATTTACAAATAAAATGATTAATTATATCGTAATTTAAATCATATAGGCAGCGCGCGCAGTATAGCCAGGCGTGCCGCCTAAATTAAATATTCCAAACTTAGCTTTACCTTAAAGATGATTTCCACTCCGTTCTGCGCATCAGTTCTGCTCATAACAAAGGTGAACCCTCCGATATAAACAATGCCCAAATTTTGCATCTTTCGAACTTTTTTTAATTGAAACGTAGAGTTTATATTCATTTACAAGCATAACTAACCAGAAAAGTGTTAGATATTGAGTTAGTATATCATATTTTACAAATATAGCAGTTCCAAACGTAAACAAAGTTCGCACATGCGCACAGGAGTGGACATCATCTTTAATACTATCGAAATATTTAAGAAACTTATTATATTGGCCCGGCCTGCTTGCGTTTAAATAATATAAATTCGGTAGCTATTATGTATTGCCATTTTTTGTTTCTATTCGGACGGGCTTTCGCGGGAGGAAAATAGCCCTGTCAGTTCTGACCATTAATATCAAAGGTTCTGACTTCCGTCTTAACCCATCATCGAGTGGAAGCACTCTTCCCTTGAAGAAAAAATCGTCTGGCGTTAGACAGAGTAAAATAATAAAGCAGGACGCATTGCCACTTAAAGTGTTGACCATCATTAACTATAACTATCATTTACATGATGGAAGGCAGGAGGATTTTGATGCATTGAAATAAGTCACTAGGTTAAACAAAAGTTCAAATGCTGGTTAACATGCAGAACTCATATGTTGTAGAGAAGATATTGTAGTTCAAGAAGATTATTATTGCTGCTTGAACAACCATTCGCTTGCATGCAGTTAACTATATAATCTATCTGTAAAAAATAGTGAAGTTTTTTGCTGAATTCTGCACCATGACTTATTTCAATACATCGAAATCGTCCCGCCTCACATCTCGTCCTGGCAAAGCGGGATCATATATAAACAGCCACTAAGTTATATCGTGTTCATATCGTGTACACTTGATTGTCTTTGCTGACAATTGACAGATCGTATTCACCCATGCAGCTTCAACCAAAGCAAGTACTACATATATGGTCCATTACAACAAATTTGCCAATTTTCTTGGTCATCGCTTTTTCAATCATCATCTGCATTACACTGTTGCTTCTCAGCCTTTTCTTCTCCGACACCTCATCAAACCTAACCCGTGCATGTACCTTACGCGGCAGACGAAAAAATCCTCCTGCTATTCTGGTCCAAGTTATGGGGTTTCCCGGCGAAAGAGAGCGAAGGATTTCTCAAAAAGCGGGAAATACGACGAAAAACCCAACCGGAAATACGACGAAAAACCGGAGCGCGCAGCGCGTGTGGCTTTAGACCTAATAAAACACGACCTGCGAGTTTTTTAAATGGCTTCAAAAACGTATGCATAATAAGTCAAGTCTTTATATAAAAATCTTTATATAAAAATCTTTATATAAAAATCTTTATATAGTTTGCATAACAATGGTCTTTTGTTAAAGTGTTCTTCAGCTGGTATAAAGACGTATGCACGTGACTAATTTCTTACTCAAGATTAGATAATTGGTTCATGAATTATTAATGAGTTTTTGAAATATATATAGATTATAGTGCTCATCTTGGTAATGTTTGTGACAACGTATGAAGCATTGTTTTATACATAGGTTTTGTTGAAATGGAGCCAAAAGCGACTGTGTAAATTAAATTATATTCTCAGTTAAAAGTTTAAGAAATCTATACTTTAATATAGTTAAAAAATTATATATAAACTACATAACACTGTCTCTGGTGGTATTCTAGACGACGAAAGCTTAGACATAACTACATTCCTGGCCAAAACGTTGTGGACAACCAACAGACATTGGCCTCGAATGGCGTTTCCCGAAATTAATAGGCCCTCCGCTTCTTCAAGTCAATGTTCAATGAAATTTATGTCAAATAATAAGTGTAAATAATCCGGATATGATGCAACATTGACGAGGGAGAGTGGGGTATATGCGTGAAAAGTCAAGTTTTAGTTGTTTGTTAAGTGTCAAGATAAATTTTGGCCTGGACCCCCCCCCCCCCTCCCCAGCACTCGAAAATCAGTCCCAGGTTTGGCAGGTGAGACTCTATCAAATGTCGGTTCCAATTTCTGCTATGAGAGTCGTTTAATCCGCAAGCCACAGATATCTGGTGTAGATTGGAGTTTCAGTTCTCATCCAAATTCATTTTAGTTCTCGTCCAAATTCTTCAACTCAGTGCCAGAAATGGCATTTCCGAGCCTCAATTTTGAAAAACATTTTCCCGGGGATCCCCCATTTCCCCCGCTCCTATTATGGTACTCTGTTACAGTTAAATAATGTTTTGCTTGCCATGTTTGCACTGTACTGAAAATCTTAACTATGCATGGTTCGAAACGTAGGTGGAACTGATTAGCCTCCCCAAAATAGAACCTGTTCCACTGTCACTGGTTGTAGAGTATAAGAAAGTCGATCGCAGATCGTCCAAACCCCCTCCCCCCCGGCCACCCACCCCAGCAATAGTACTATTGAAGAGGTAATTCGATGGAGGCCATGGCCGTGGGTATCGTAGTATTTCATGGCCATGCATGGACTTGGGTATTGACGAATTACCTAACCAAGTTACTATATATATTATTGTTGTTCTCGAGTGCCTAAAACAATACCTGTCCACTATAGAACTACATCAGTTGACACTTCTGGAGAAGTGGCAATGAGCCAAATCTGCTCCGAAACGAGATAAACATGCAAGCAATAATAATAAATTAATATACGTGAGGGGGGGGATGGAAAATGCAACGGTGGAGGACTGACACCGAAGGAAACCATAAGCTCGCAACGACAAGAGGAAGACCAGAGGAATGAATAAGCAATGGCCACGAACGATGGCACATCAATTGCGATGAAACCAAAAGGGGCGACACGATGCCCAACCGAAGTAAAAACGAGACGGCTCGAACGAAACGTGTAATCGACGTGCGTGCGAAGGACTACATCTGAGCGTACTGACGGTAAAGACGTCTCGCGATTTCTGCAGCAGCACATCGTACAACCCACCTGGTTGCGGGAAGAGCCGTAACATCGAACCAACCGAAGGATGAGAAGTGTTTCTAGTGATTAAAGGAGGAGAATCAGAGTGTTGAGTTTTATAAGGTGGGGATGCAAAACTTCATTAGCATGTATACCTCAAGCTAGGGTCCAGACCCCCCAAACCAACACCAACCAATGCACTCATTCTTAATATCATTTATTTCATAAATCCATTTAAAATTATGAAATTTCAAAAAATTGTGCAAAATTATAGCAGAATTACACAAGCTGAACTACAGCAACATTATGAAAAATTAGAAAGACCAAACACTAGTAATACAAGTCAGTCCAATTTTATTTCACTTGTAATAAAGACCCCATCTCATGCGGCATCCACCTCCTCTGTTGTCGGTATCATCTCTGTAGTAAGGAGTCCAGAAGTTGGCCAAAGCACAAAGCTTGCGAGCAGCACCACCGCCACACTGTCCACCATCACCATCTGGATACCATTCGTAGCACAACTGGATATTCCTTGCCCACGAACTATGCACAGGTGGTAGTTTGAGCTGCCAAGACATTCTACACCCGCCGCCGCGGTTATCGGTATCGTCCCGGTAGACCGCCGTGTATTTACCCACCGGAGCACACAGCAAGCGTGCCGCCCCACCGCCACACTGACCGCCGTCACCATCCGGGTACCATCGGTAGCATATTTGCACGTTCTTGAACCACTGTGGGCTGTGAGGTGATTCGATGGACCAGCTCATGCGACATCCCCCTCCTCTGTTGTCTGTGTCGTCTCGATAATATTGGGTGGCTGAGTTGATGTGTGTGCAAAGACGTCTGGGTTCGCCCGCACCACACTGACCACCATCACCATCAGGGTACCACTGGTAACAAAGTTTGGTGTAGGCCGAGAACCAGCTAGGAACCTTGTTTTTCAAAAGAAAAGGTCAAGTTTAGGGTTAGATTAAGGTCATATTAAGATTAAATTAGGGTTAGATGTTAGGGACTGTTTATATGAGAGGCGGGACGGGACGTTTGCCGGGATGGGACGATTTATACATCCCAGGTTGGAAGCTGTTTACATGATCCCGCTTTGCCGGGACAGGTTGTGAGGCGGGATGATTTTGATGTATTGAAATAAGCCACGGTGCACGATTTAGCAAAATCACATTATTTTTCTAGTGATAGATTACAGTATAATTGTAAACGAAAGGTTGTTGAAGCAGCAATAATAATCTTCTTGAACTACGAGATATTCTTTAACAACATTTGAGTATTTTCAACCGTTGTTTAAAAGTTTGTTTAAGCCTAGTCATTTATTTCAATACACCAAAATCATCCCGCCTTCCGTTCCGTCCCGGCAACAAGTGTTTACATGGAAGAAAACGTCCCGGTTGAGGCGGGATCCCAGTTGTACAAACCGGGATCCCGCTTGCCGGGACGGGACGAAAAACGTCCCGCTTCCATATAAACATCTGGTGATAAATCAGAATTGAAATTTATACAACCGGGATCCCGTTCATCGTCCCGTCCCGGCAAACGTCCCGTCCCGCACCTTAGACATGCGTCTCGAATTTAATTATGCACTAGTCAACCGAAAGCCCGGCCCCCCGACCCCCGGGACTAAGCGGGGATTTTAACATTTCACGGTTGTTAAAATCCTGGCTAAAAAATCTTGTTCAATTGTTAAAATCCCCGGGTTACTGGGCCTAAACATTTGGGTGTTTTTTTTTTTTAATTTCCGCGTTTGATAAAAAACCTAACATTAACATTTCTATTAAAACTCAGCCAAAGTTATAGAGAATAATACATGGGTGCGCATTATAAAATTAGAGTCAATTTCAGCTGACTTTTCATCGTAAGATTCCGAACTTCGTTCCGAACGCAAATTCGTTGCCAAGTTCAAAAGTTCATAATGAAATTCACAAACAGGTTCGTAAACTGGGCATTTGATTGGCTGGTTTGATTTAATAGCCAATCAGAGGCTTTGTTTACAAACCTGTTTGTGAATTTCATTATGAACTTTTGAACTTGGCAACGAATTTGCGAAGTTCGGAACGAAGTTCGGAATCTTACGATGAAAAGTCAGCTGAAATTGACTGTAATACAGGAGAATGGTTCAAATGAAGCCAATGGTTGTCAGATGCTTTGCTCCTTTGTAAATAATACCGTTTTTAATTATTAAAGTACGCATAAGCCACAATCGTCCACAAAATATATTGAGACTTTTTAAATCAATCCCCTCCCCCCTTATTTCAATGTTGAAACCTACTGTGCTTATCCAAAACTAACATAAGGTGACACTAGCACCGCAACTGTGTCACTGGCAGTTGAAATTTAACATATGATGTTGGAATTAAACTATATTGTAATGCCTAACAACATTGAAATCGAGGAAGGGGGTTTGTCTCAAATATTTTGTGGACGATTGTCTGAAAATTGGGGAAAATCGAACACAGGTTTTGGCTATTTACTGCATAATATTTTCTTTGGCAGCGCTTATGTTAATGTATACGAACAAAATTTGCATAACATATTTGGTCTACATAGATTAGATTAGAAATTTATTATCCTTCCCACAGAGGAGCTTTTCAAAGATAATTACAAAAGAAATGCAATAATTTACATAAATATAAATATATATACATATATATATACAAGAATATAAGTACCTAATTACTATTTTAATTGATATACATACACATTACTATAATGAGTTTAAAGGTTTAAAAGTTTAAATAGCTAAGAAGTCGCTGAGAAGTTTGTTTCGAAGGCTTCTCTTAAAACTTACAACATTTGGACAAAGTTTAAACTTAGACTCCAGAGAGTTCCACAAGCTTACAGTTCTATAATAAAAAGTCCTTTGGCCAGTGGCACTTTTAAATAGTGGAATGTTCAATTTCTGTGAACTTCTCGTGGATCGCTGGCTAATGTCTCCACGCTTTACAAATTGTTCGGATAAATAATCTGGAGCACAACCAGTCATGCATTTAAATGCCAAAGTGGCGTTTCTCAAATACAACTCGCTAGCTACTGGCAGCCATTTCAATTCCTTTAGTGCTGGTGTGACATGGTCAAATTTCCTTATACCACAAACTATTCTGCAAGCGAAATTCTGAATTAACTGCAGTTTCTCGATGTTACACTTTGAGGTGTTACTCCATACATTGGAACAATAATAAAGTCTGCTGAAAACCAAACTGTTCATGATAGTAATCAGAGTACGTTTGTCGAAGGCATGCTTCACACGATTAATTTGACCCAGTATGGACATACACGTGGAGACGGTCTTATTAATATGGGGGTTGTAGGTTAAATTAACATCCAGAGTCACGCCAAGGTCCTTTGCCATTTCGATAGGGTTTATTTCTTTTCCCAATAGTGTCAGGGAAAAGTCTTGTAGTCTAGATAGCATTTGTCTGCTCCCAAACACCAATAACTTGGTCTTTTCAGGGTTCAGAAGCAGGCAATTGCTAAAACACCAATTTCGGACTTTAGTCAAATCCTCGTTAATATTCTCTATAGCAAAAGATTTACTCTGAGCTTTAAAGGAGTGCAGTAGACCTGTGTCGTCTACGTAGCAATGTGGATCACAGTTTTGAGGTGCAGTTGAGAGGTCGTTGACATAGATGTTAAAAAGTAAAGGCCCAAGGATACTTCTCTGCGGCACGCCGTTCGTCAAAGGCAAGGCATCCGATACTGTACTGTTTATTCGTACAACCTGCTGTCTGTTGGAGAGATAACTACTGAACCATTGTAAATACGATTGTGAACCACCCATATCTTGTAACTTTGACATCAAAAGATTATGATTAACACAGTCAAATGCTTTGCTCATATCCAATAAGACCAGAGATGTAACTTTCTTTTGGTCTATAGCATTTAGTATGGAGTCTGTGATATTAATTAACAAAGTTTCGGTCGAGAATCCACGTTTGTTACCACTTTGCTTACTTGAAAGCCGCTTTTTCAACGTAAGATATTCTACAAATTGATTATAGGCAACCCTTTCGCAAACCTATGATAAAACAGGTAATAATGATATTGGTCTGTTATTATTCGCCACTTCCGGGTGATCCTTTCCCTTTGGAATTGGTGTAACTTCGGCAATTTTCCAAACTATAGGATAGGCTGACGTAGTTAGTGAAGTGTTAATAATTGATGTTATTACTGGTAATTAAAATGGGCACAATGCAATCCTTAATCACTCGAATGGGAATTTTGTCACCGCCCGGTGCTTTGTTGTTAGGCATTGAAGATATTATACTTCCTACTATGGCTGGCTCGACCTCTTTAAATGAAAATTGTTCCGTTAAAGGGTATTGTCTTGGTGTAAAACGGTCGCGGTCGCAATCAAACCCAAATTCGTTTGCCAAATCATTGATTTTATGAACCGCATTATTGCCGACAGAAGCAAAGAAATTGTTAAACTCTTCTGCTACGGTTTTTTCATCTTGACTGAAAATTCTTTGCGAAGACGATTTTTTAGGAATGCATAAGCGGATAGATTTCCAGATATTATTAGAATTACCTGGATCTTTCTCTATCTGGTTTAATACAAATTCACGCTCGGCTAGTTTAATTTCACGCTTAACTTCTCCACGAAAATTTCTGTACGCAGACCACGCCAAGGGATCATTTGACCTTTGGGCAAGTTTGCGCCAGTGATCTCTTGTTTTCATCAATGCACGAATGTTTTCATTAACGCAAGGATTTGGTTTCCCTTTTACCTTGATGGATTTTATTGGAGCATGTTGATTTAATATATCATTAAACATAGTGTTGAAGGCATTTACTTTATCATCAATGTCAGTAAATACATCTATAACAGACCACGGAGCTTGCGATATATCATTATAGAAAGCTTCTCGATTGTAATGTTTAAAGCTTCTAATGTTTACATAAACCGGTTTTGTACGAGGCTTTTTTAATCGAAGTGTTAAATAAACCAAGTCGTGGTCACTGACCGAGCTGTGCTTGACAAAGGATTCTCTTACTTGTTTAATATCAGATACAAGGATAATATCCAAAAGCGAACTAGTTTGTTCAGTAACTCGCGTAGGTTCCCTAATCAACTGTGTTAGATTGTATGATGAACAAAAATTTCCAAGGACTTTGCAGTCAGAAGCTTCGGGTTTCAGAAGATTACAATTTAAGTCACCCAGTATGTAAATAGGTGCGCATAAAGATGAAGCATAAACAAAATTTGCTGCAAGATCTGAGTCGAAACATGATGTCGGTGTATTAGGAGGTTGATAGACAGTACTTATTATGATGGATTTTAAGTGCCTGACCTGTACCTTCAACCAAAGTTGATGAAAACCTGACGCAGAAATCGACGAGATGTCTCTTAGGCAAATTGTTTTGTAGATTTGACGTACATAAATACACACACCGCCGCCGGTTTTATTTTCTCGATCAACACGATAAATATTATAGCCAGGTATTTCAATTTCTAAATCGGTAATTTTGCTGTCGAGCCACGTCTCAGATACAGTAAAAACATCGAATTTATTCGACAAGATCGTTTCTTTGATAAGTAAATAATGATGTCGATTTTTTAAAGAGCGAGCATTGAGATGAGCTATCTTTAAATCTGTTGAATTCTTCTGCTGGTTAACAGAATAATTGTCCGGTCCAGGGTTAGTTTCAACGTCGTGAATAAGTTTAATTACTTGCCTAAACGATGCTGTAGAGTTATTGTAATAGGGGGCGACTGCATTTGACATCTTCTCTCTTGAATAGCCCGTCAAGTTGAAACGCCGCTTCGGAATAACGCCTTCGAGATGAATCACCTGATAATAGCATTTTGAGTTCCAATCCTGGCACAATAAAGTAATCTGATCTTCGTGCCGCGTCCAACAATCAAAACCTTGATCAATAATACCAGTAGAATAGGTAATAGCGAAAGACAAAGTCATAAAAATTGAAAATAATCGAGAGCAATCTATAGTATGACCGCCCATGTCGAGGCACAATTGTAATTCAAAAGAATTGAAAGTAGGTCAAAGAATCAAATTTAAGCAAAATAATTTGAAAGTGCAAATTGCAGCAACAAATTATGTTTGCAAAATTGTTCAATTCTTTTAGTGGGCATAGTAAGCTTTGAAGCTGCAAATTAATTGGGCATTCCTGAAAACATACACACCTAGAAAAAGTAGGAATAAAGTACGGTAGCTAGGAAAATATACAAAAATGTAGGACAAAAGTAGGAATTTTTTATCTATTTTAAAAACTGTAAACAATAAAATAATTTTCACAAAAAATCTGTCGACTATACTCAACTGTTTTTAACTGCAGGGGTCGGAAAGTATAAAAAAAATTCAAAATCTAGAGTCTCTAAAATGGTATTTCCTCTACTCTGGGGAAGATTTCAAGTTATGACTACCTCAACAATTGAAACAGATCCTAACCACCCACAACAACTGTTTGACCAGGCTGTGTTTGTAGGCTGTTGGGCTGTTTGGAATTTTTAAATTACCCACTACGACTCAATAGAACATATTTTCAAGATATCTATTGAAGAATTATATTTAAATTCACATTTGGTTTTAATTGACATAATTATATTCATTAACTTGTTCCATATCCAAACATTTATCCAAACAGCTCAATTTTTGCCAAATGAATGCAACAATTAGCCTTTCTCACGCCGCCATTTTTGGGGGTACTGTAATTTTTCGTAAACGATTATAACAATGTGAAAAGCAATATTTCAGAACAAACTATTTACAGAGTAAATTTACCATCATACACCCACAAGGATTGACAAAAAAATACCCCAAAAATGGCAGCGTGAGAAAGTCTAATTTGCCGACTCGTTCATGAGTGAGGGGGTGCTCCATTCCCCTGCATCCCCTCTACCACCACCCCTGCTCCTACGTACTTTGTTTCTGTTTTGGTTCACTTGTGCGCATTAGTCATTCTTCTCTGGGGATGTTAAATTATTTAATTATTCATAGTTAATTGGTATGCATTATGTACGAGTCAAATCCAACCGCGATCAGGCCCCCCCCCCCGGGCAGCCCCCAGGGAATTTGACTTTTGAAAAAATAATTGGTCAAATGCCCGCCCGAACAGGCAGAAACCACAGTCAAATGCCCTGCAGGCTATTGGGGTAGTCCTGGTTCTGGAATTTTGGCTAAAATTAAATTTAACAGGTATTTCAGGATTAAAAAGAACGAAAAATAGGCCAGGCAGTTCTTCTTTTTGTTTAAACTATCGAAAAGACGCAAAATAGAAAACTTGTGAAGCGCTAGAATGTACACATATTTTTAGGGAAAACCGCTGAGCAAGTTGTCAAGTGGTCAAATGCCCGACCGAGCCGTCAAATTCCCGCCTATATGGGGGTAATGTTAAGTCAAATGCCCTGGGGTTGCCCGGGGGGGGGGGGGGGCTGATCGCGGTTGGATTTGACTCGTACATTACCAGTACTGAACAACCAAAAGGTCTGTGTTGCTGCATGTGAACAGCGTTTTTCGGGGAATTGAGCCCAAACCACATTTTGTGTATTTTGCCAACCAAAGCCAGTGCCCGAGCAGGCGTCTCATTGTTGCGCTTAAGATGGCAGCAAACAGAAGAAAGTCTAATACCTCGGAAGTGATTAAACGGAATTAAATGAAACTCGGTACAGTTAATAACTGAACCTAAGCAAACATTTTGGAACGTTTATGTGACTGTCATAGCAACACACTAGTTACCAGGTCTCTCTCTCCTTATTTTAGTCCTGTCTGGCGTAGACACTTTGAAAGGAAAATTTTATTTAATTCATTAGTTTATGTTCACCACAGCACCTATAAAAACGATAATAATAAATGAAAATCACAAACATTCCCTTCTTCTTTGTTGAAAGCAAAGAATTGGACAAACAAGACAGAGCGACCTGGTAACTAGTGTGTTGCTATGACAACCGTTTAAACGTTTCAAAATATTTACTTAGGTGTCACTCACTAACTGTACCAAATTCCATTTAATTTTGTTGAATCACTTCCAAGATATTAGACTTTCTTTCTTTTGCTTGCCATGTTAAGTACAACCAGTGACGTCATAACCCAAAAATACAAAATACCCTATAACTTGGGAATGAAACTCTGGGAATGAAATAAGCTGTAAGGCCAATGAAAATTGATATCATGTTTCTCGTCCCCGCCCGCATGGGATTTATCTGCCGCACGAAAATTTTTCATTATTCATTATTTTTGAAAAATAGGCTTAACAAAACACCAAATTGATCTCCAGATCAAAGACTTATTAGGGCCATTTATACGTGACAAAATAAGTCGCGACTTACATAAGACGCGACTTAAATAAGTGGAGTTATCGCATAAATGGTTCTCTACGGCTTTGGTCTTATTTATTTGCTATAGCTATAATGTTGTTTTGGTTGTTTTTGTTTTAATATGCAAGGCATTAAATTTTACGTTGTTTCAAGTTTCTGGCATGTGTATAGTTAGACTTTTTGTCCAAAATTTCTTATTTAAGACGCGACTTAAATAAGAACAGCTAAAAGACCTGTTCTTATGTAAGACGCGTCTTATCCAAGACGCGTCTTACATAAGAATTTTGTACCTTTTATACCACAAACTCGCGTCTTACTTAAGTCGCGTCTTATGTAAGTCGCGTCTTATTTTGTTCCGTATAAATGGCCACAATGCTGCATTCCGCAAGCGCAACTCAAATTGTATCTTTCTAAAGATATTACTCGCCAGAATGCCTCTATTTTTCATGGCAGCCCTGGTATGTATAGAAATATACTGTAGTGTAGGACGTATTAAATCAAAATGAATTTTACACCGATTTACTTCAGATTTTTATGGGGGTTTTTACTGGTTCAAGGAAATTATTGACAAGCAATTCAAATGCAAAAATTAATGAAAAATGAAAAAATCCCGCTCCAAATTTTTGAAAATTGTGGACGAGAAACATGATATCAATTTTCATTGGCCTAAATAAATTGCTAAGAGTTCTAAAACAAAACTTTTCGAATATGAAAATATATAAATTATACATGTGTGATGTTTTTATATCTTGAATTAAGTGGAATTAATTGATGGATGAATTCAATTAATTGCAAAAGATGATATTTAGATAACAACGTAAGTCATTCGATTGTTTATTCAAAGTAAAACAAAACATGATCGCTCCTCTGACCCCTGTGGCTGTGGTAGATATTGTTGCCTTTTAAGGAATTAAAATGCTTTAGCTTAAGCAGGTGAAACATATAAACATGAAATAGTTAAAGTGAAATATAAAAACAGATATAGGAATGGTTTATACCAAGTTTTTGGCTGTCTTATCATTCTCCAGGCAACATAAACGTGTTATTAAACTTGAAAAGAAATCTTTATAATAGATTATATACCATCTAGGTCCTGGAAAGACAGAAGGATTGTTGTTTTTTGGCCTTCAATAGTTCAATCCTTTACCCACGAAACACACAACTCGTAGTCCCGTCTTTTCACGACATTTTTACACAAAATTATGAGTAGTAAAACAAGTTAGATGTCCAGCAAGGTTAAGAAAACAATTTGAAACAGATATATTTCATTTTGAAAACGTTTCGTGCGTTTTGGCCACTTTTTACTCAAGTTTTTTTCACTCAAAAACAACAACATAACACAAAATGTTTTGAATTCTTTCATTTACATCCAGTTAATTTCTCAGTCAGTGACTTAAGATGGTGTCATTGCTCGCGTCATTATCATGTTTCATGGCGTGGATTGCGGTGAGCACTATACACTGAGCAATATAATAACTGGAGGACCTGCTCCTATTTCTCGTCAGCCAAAAAAGTGTCGCCAAAAACATGGCGGATTTTGACGCCATTTCCATGGCAACTGGTCCGAAAACCTCATGGTAGTTACCACTGACCAGGCTCAATTCTGAGCCCACGGCAGTTTTCACCCCCCCTCTGGTTTTTTGCAAAAGATTTGGTTTTTACAGATAAATATTTATAGTTCTCGTTGTTTTAAATCTTTTGTATAAATTTTGAGATATATTTACTACCTTTGACCATTTGGTTAAAGGTATACAAGTCGTACGTGTTATTCTCGCCCGCGAAAGCCAAACAAAACCTCGAGAAATGTGGGAAAAGAGTAT